AGTTAGTTAGTTAGTTAGTTAGTTAGTAGTTAGTTAGTTAGTTAGTAGTAGTTAGTTAGTTAGTAGTTAGTTAGTTAGTTAGTTAGTTAGTTAGTTAGTTAGTTAGTAGTTAGTTAGTTAGTAGTTAGTTAGTTAGTAGTTAGTTAGTTAGTTAGTTAGTTAGTTAGTTAGTTAGTTAGTTAGTTAGTTAGTTAGTTAGTTAGTTAGTAGTAGTTAGTAGTTAGTTAGTTAGTTAGTAGTTAGTTAGTTAGTTAGTTAGTAGTTAGTTAGTTAGTTAGTAGTTAGTTAGTTAGTTAGTTAGTTAGTAGTTAGTTAGTTAGTTAGTTAGTTAGTTAGTTAGTTAGTTAGTTAGTTAGTTAGTTAGTTAGTTAGTTAGTTAGTGTTAGTTAGTTAGTTAGTTAGTTAGTTAGTTAGTTAGTTAGTTAGTTAGTTAGTTAGTTAGTTAGTTAGTTAGTTAGTTAGTAGTCATTAATCTAATATTAGTTTTCTCTTTAACGTTCTTTTAAAAACCTAAGTTGGTCCCATTTCTCTCTTACAATTCTGCTTAAGCATGAATATTCATTCAACAGGGCAGGATATTAGTATTTCTGTTGTTATATTTACAACAATAGACATAATATAACAAATTAGTTGAAAAGGAACAATTTGCACACGAACAAATAAGTAACAAAACATACAAAAAAAACACGAACACTTATATACATACACTCTATCCTTCTCTTTTCCTATTCTAACAGCAAATAAGCAAAATCTACAAAACACATGCACACACTTGCATATTTACATAATTCTTTACTCATATGCTTGCACACCCCCCGTTCTACAAAAACACTAACTTTCTTTCTCTTGTATTCAAATTCTCATAATAATGGATAATTTATGAGCCTAAAAATATGCAATGTTTATTGCTAGACCATTACTGCTGGTGTGTATATGCGTATGCATGAGAGCATGAGTGATAATGCTAAATAAGGGGTTTTATCCCTTTTGTTATTGTTGTTGTAATTTGCAACTATTTTTAATTTATAGTTATTTTTGAGAGGAGAGACAGAAAAACAACTAGAAATTGTAAATTGTAAAGAAAAAAATGTGTGTGAAAAATAAAATAGCTAATAAAATTATAAGAAAGAAATATTTAATAAATTACAAATTTGTTGACATGACAGAGATAAAAATTTTTTATTTAGAAGTTAAGGAAGGGATTTTTTGATAACTGAAAGATAATTATTTAATGACAATACATATGTACAAATATTTTGGGAAGAAAACTGGTGGGTGAATTATTTATTTTATATATTAAATATATATTGTATTATATATGGCATTTTGTGTAAAAGCCAGAGAACTTTAATACAATAAAAAGTATAAGAAAATGCTGGCAAAATATTTTTCTTTATTCTGCCTTTTTTTGTATAACGGATTTAACGTTATACATACTTAAATTCAACACTTAAAATTTCCCCTTTTTCCAATAAGAAACTATCAAAAGGTTTGTGCTTTAGCTAAATAATATCTTAGGTAATTGCCCCTAAATACACAGTATGGTGACATTAAAATTTTACATATGATAATTTTATATAATACGGCAACATTTTGTTCAGCTGACAAATAAATTCTGCATGGCATCTCTGTTGCTCTCTGCATTATAAAACGTCACTTTTCGACCAGAGACTTGCGCCGATACAGCTTAAGCCGACTAAGCCTAGCCGCCGAACAAAATGTCAAAGCCGCCGCCGCCGAAAATTTTTCAGCTTAATACGGCTTGAAAATTTCGCCATATTTTGTACAATTTACAGAATACTTTCGCTAAATTTGTGGAATTTTACAATATAAAATTAATTTGTTTTCATTTAAGCAAGTTTTCTTTTATTTAATAATAAGCCGCTCATTGAAATTTGGCCGGTTTAGAACTTTGCTCAACGTTCGATGTATATGCTTCGCCTCAGATATTTTCGTGTTTTCGCGCCTAATTCGAGTCGCTGCTTTGACTTCAAACCAGCTTCGTTGACGTCAACGGAGCTACACCTTTTTACATTGCTGGTATGTCATACCGTAAAGGGCTAAGGTATCGAACATGTGTATTTCAAATGGGAAGTGTAGTTGATGTCAATTCTGCCGACTGCGAAAAGAAATTCTGCTAGAATTTTTCGCGCCAAGCTGTTTTCTGCATTTTTTATTTGCCACAAAAAATCTGTTGTTGTGTGGTGAAAGATATATTAATTATAAGGTAGTGTTAACAGAGCAGCTGATTGTTTTTTGCTAATACACTTTTGATTTTTTTTATATGTAGTTTGACAGTGTGCTGGCACTTTGAAGTGTAGGCATGCTGTCAAACTCCATATATAAAAAATAAAATGAATTCGCTCCGTATTTCTGAATTCGCTCTTCAAAAGGTACTTTTTGAGTTTTCTATTTTTCGTTCTTCGACTGGTACTTTTTGAATTTTTTATAATATTGAACCTATAGGTTCTATAGAAACATGAATTTAGGAATGTACAGCCCGGATTAAGTAATAACATATAAAAGGGAACTTTTTGGTACTTTTTCGTTCTTCAAAAGGTATTTTTTGAATTTTCTATAATATTGAACATGGGAGTAAGTGAGAACATATAAAACGGGACTTTTTGGTACTTTTTCGTTCTTCAACTTGTACTATTTGGATTTACTTTTATAATGAACCTAAAAACATAAAACTAAGCAATCAGGGACTTGAGTGAATGAAAATTTAAACTGGAGTATTTCTGGTAATTTTTCGTTCTTTAGCTGGTACTTTTTGAATTTTCTAAAATATTGAATATATAAACATAAAATTAAACACGCAGTATCCTAATTGAACGAAAATTTATCTCGCTTACGTCCATTTTGCAAAAAGGGCTCGATATCAATCGAAATCTCTATAGGCCATAGTTGACCCTGCCCCCTTCAATAATTAATTTTAACGTTTTCTACGTACTTAATAATACCATAATAAAACAATTTTTGTTGGAACGAAAATATGTAATGAAATCTTCTTCAGAAAATGACTTAAACGCACATAAATGGCTTTCAAATGTCGATGTCGACGAAATAAACATTTTTAGGAACCGAAACCCACATTTATGAAAAATAAAATTATGAGGATCGGTCCGCCAATATCATTCCAAAAGTTATCATTATGATAGAATTATGGTAGAATTAAAAAAAATACTTTAAATTATATATATTATTGATCCAATTCCACATTTAAGTCCCTAATCCGAAAATCACGGTGACGTTCTTATTAATCTAATGATCGGACCACTTCCGAAATTTGCTTTTTTACGACATATGATTTGCCGAATATAACTCTTACTTCTTACTTATTTTAATCATAAAATACCACTAAAATAGGAATAGTCTTCCTTTAGAGTTGCGAGTTTTCATACATTCTAATAATGTTTTCAAAGTGAAACTTTTGGAATATTTTTCAATCTCTTTGTGATCCCTTTAAATGATGTTGTTCTGGAAGAACTTTAACATCCATGTAAACATTTTGGGTAATAAACTGGGGGACTACCAATGAGGGGAGCGGAACCTCCCATATGAATTAAATACAAAAATTCATTTATCTGGGAAACTAATATAATTAAATTCTTCAAATTTTGCACGAACAACTTTAATATTCATCTGAACATTTTGGAGAAAAAAGGGCGGACTTTCATCTGGGGGGGCTTGGAGCTCCCATATGAATTAAATAAAAAAATTCGTATATCTGAGAAACTATTAGAGTTAGAATCTTCAAATTTTACTGAAGAACATTTAGAGAATAACGGGCGGACTTTCAATGGGGTGCTTGGCACTTCCCATATGAATTAAATACAAAATTTTGTATATCTGAAAACTATTAGATTATTCAAATTTTTCATAGATTAAATTAAAATCTTAATTAACGTTCGGAATAATTGGCGAAATTGCAATAATTTGCGTGGAATCTCCCATATGTAACAAATTGTATATCTGGAAAACCATTGTAGTTAGAATCATCAAAATTGTTAAGTAGGTTTCTTTTTTATATTTAGGGTAGCACAGCACACTGGGTATAGCTAGTAAATAAACAAATAAAATATCTTTGTTTTTACGTTATTGATCATTTTCTTAATGCAAAACTGATTTTCTGCAAGATGTTTTATATGGAAAATAGGGTTAAATATCGGCAGATCCTAGTAAAACTTGGAGAAAGGATTTGTTTTTAATTTTTAAGAAATTTTTATTCATCCCTGCATAATTTCTCATGCAACTTTTGAGTTTGCTCTGTTTTGTTGTTATAAACAATATATTTGCTTCCAAAATCCTACTTTCTGATCTCTCGGATTCCGTTTTTATTTAAAATCGTTGAAAAATTAAAAACTAAACGTAGTTGAAAACTTAGCCGGCTTACAGTCGATTTTAAGCCGCCGCCGACATATTTAGTGTCAGTCGCTGACGCCGTTAATATTTGTCGGCGCAGGGCTCTGTTTTCGGCTGATTGCAAGAAAAAGTAATATTTTTTTATTGAAATTCTACAAAAATAACTAATAATAATAATATAATTTTGAATATTTATTCAAAATAATAATAATTCGACTTTAGGCATCATGCTAAATTTAATGAAAAACTGTTGTAATTTTTAAAAAATTAAAAGAAAACAAAACTACTTTGTGCTGGCAAAAATTAGTCATTGAAAAGCGGTTCCCAAAAGAAAAAAATCACAAGAGAATCATCAACAACAACAAAAAGTGCAATTTTAAACAAAAAATTTATTAAAAAAAAAAACAAAAAAATGTCCTTTAAAAAAGATTTATATTACTGCAAAAATATTGATGACTTGGAAAAACGTTCCGAGATACCCGATGTCCGACAACGTAAAATGCAATTGTAAGTACAGTTGCATAAAGTGAATAAATAACAAACAAACTAGTTTCTAATCTCTTTCTATTTATGTTCTAATTATTAGTTTACTGGAGACAGCAAAAAAACTTAATGCTGAAGCTGAGAAACATTATCGCAAAGGTGATGAGGAGTTGGCCTATGTTTTCTATACAAAATATTTTAATCTGCTCAACAGCATTTACAAGAAACCCGACTATCAGGAGAATAAACCTCTGATAAGACAAATGTTGGGTGATAATCGCACCAATAAAATGACTATGGACCGTTTGGAGGCTTTAACTATGTCGCTCAACGAACGTTATGAACGTTTAAATGCTAAGAATAAAGCAAAAACAGCAGGTGCTGCAACGCCGCCAGCAATGGTGTCAAATGATCGTTCACGTTCAAATTCTCCTAAAGTCCTCAACAATGTTGTGGATATAGCCTCTATGCATTTAATGTCTTGTCAGCAATTATTCGAAGCTATGAAATTACAAAATGTTTTAGTAATAGATTGTCGTTCGGCAGAAGATTTTAAAACGTCTCATTTGCAATACAATTTAACGTTAAGCATACCCGAGGAAATTATACAGGCGGGGTAAGGTTTTGTTTGTTTTATTTGTTAAATAAGTTTTTTTGGTTTTTATGGTTTTTGCTTTGCATTTTTAGCATGTCGGCTGGTAAATTACAAGACAAACTTGACAACGAATCCAAGAAGCTATGGTCAGCTAGAGCCATTAAAGATGAGGTGGTTTTAATGGATTGGAATTGTTCGGAACCAAATCCTCAAGAAGACAGACCCATTGCTGTGCTAATGGACATATTGCAAAATGTAAGTAAAAAATCTAAGCATTTGTGACATAGAAAAAGTCTCCACTAATTTTTTAAAGAAAAACTTAAGTCTCCTCTAATTTTTTATATAAAAACTCTCCAAAAAAAGTTTATAAATAAATTTTAATTCCTTCAAGTGGGATCCCGATGTAACCTATCGTTCTCCCATCAAAATTCTCGAAGGTGGCTACGAATACTTCCTCTTAATGTATCCCACGTGGTGTACAAATCCCATGGTGCAGGCACCATCTGTACCACAAAATAATCTAAATCTTATCGATGATATAGAATATCCTTCGGTTTTCGATATACAAATGAAGGATGATATAATATTGAATATTAGCGATGCGGCAAATACAGTAAAATCACCAACACCATCGAACACAGTAAACAGACCCATCATAGATAGATCTAGCAAACATGCAGCTCTAAAAACTTATGATGAAAAACAAAAAGCCATAGATGAAATTGTTAAAGATCAGACAGTTCTCTTGGAAAAGGCCAAAGAAAATGATGAAGAATTACATAAGGTGGCCAAGCAATTGGATAATATATATGGTAAAAAACAATTAACACCCTCGGAACAGCAATTGGTGTACAATATGATGCAGTTGGAGAGTGCAGCAGAAGATTTTGTAAGTTTTCTTTTGCATTTAAAACGATAACTACAATAATAAATATTATCTCTAACATTTAGAAACTAGAAAACATGCGTCTGCGCGAAGAACTAGAAGAATACAAACGCCGAGAAAAAGAAGAAAAAGCCAACATTCCTTCTCAGCTTAAAGTTGAAGTAGAAAAGGCCACCAAAGAGATAGAAGCTAAAATCGAAGAACGTCAACGTTTAGATGAACAATTGGAGCGAGAGAAACAACAACGTGCCTTACAATTGGCTATAGCTAGAGAAAATAAACGTCAGTTAAATGCGAAACTTATTGAACAGGAAAAGCTGCAAACTGAACGTGATGTAGCTAAAAGTGATAGCGACGCTTATGATTTGGAAACAGAGCCGGAGCCAAAGCCCTTGCAGGAAGAACCTGAAAAGTTTATAGCAAAACCAGCCATACCACAGTTTGACCGTTCGGTTAAACCCCAATTAAATACCGCACGTCCCTCTCCGCCACATTCACCTAATATTTATGCTTTACAAAGACAACGTGACTTTTCACCTGTTGCCGGTTCAGTGGTAAGTTGGAAAATATTTTGAAACTTTTTTTTTCACCAATTTTTTATGAATTACAAGAAGTATCCACCAAATTTTTATAGGGAACAAAAAGTCTACACTAATTTTATTATGTAAAAAATAAGTCTCCAAATATTTTTTATAAAAAAATTAAAGAGACCACTAATTTTCTATAGAAAATATGAAGTCTCCACTGATTTATAAAGAAAAATTCAGTTCCCACTAATCTTTAATAGAAAAAATAAGTCTCCACTTATTTCTTACAGAAAAAACTAAGTCTCCACTCTTCTTTATAGAAGAAATTAAGTCTCCACTAATTTTTGAAATTTGATCTCCACTCTTTTTTATAGAAAAAATCAAGTCTCCACAAATTTTTTATTGAAAAAATCAAGTATCCACAAATTTTTTATAGGAAAAATCAAGTCTCCACAAATTTTTTATAGAAAAAATTAGGACTCCACTCTTTTTTGTAGGAAAAATTATGTCTGCACAAATTTTTTGTAGAAAAAATTAAGTCTCCACTTACATTTTATAGAAAAAATTAAGTAGCAACTCGCTGTTGATAGAAAAAATTAAGTCTCCACTCTTTATTTATAGAAAAAATTAAGTCTCCACTAATTTTTAATAAAGAAACTGAATTCTCCACTAACTTTTTATAAAGAAACTGAAGTCTCTACTAATTTTTTGTAGAAAAAATTAAGTCTCCACTCTTTATTTATAGAAAAAAATAAGTCTCCACCAACTTTTCATAGAAAAATTAAGTCTTCACTAATTTTTTATATAGAAACTGAAGTCTGTACTAATTTTTTATTAAGAAACTGAAGTCTCCACTAATTTTTTATAGAAAAAATGAAGTCTCCACTAATTTTTTGTAGAAAGAATTAAATCTCCACTCACTTTTGATAGAAAAAATTAAGTCTCCACTAAATTTTTATAGAAAAAATTAAGTCTCAACTAAATTTGTATAGAAAAGAAATAAGTCTCCACTAAATTTGTATAGAAAAAAATAAGTCTCAACTCGCTTTTGATAGAAAAAAATAAGTCTCCACTCATTATTTATAGAAAAAATTTAGTTTCCACTGATTTTTTATGGAAAAAATTAAGTCTCCACTAATTTTTTATGAAGAAACTGAAGTCTCCACTAATTATTTTATAAAGAAAATGAAGTCTCCACTAACTTTTCATAGAAAAATGTTGTCTCCACTAATATTTTATAAAGAAAATGAAGCCTCCTCTCATTTTCTAATAAAAAATCCACCATTTACTTAACTTAAAAGGAATTTTAACAAATTTTTTCTTAATAAACCCCGAAAAAATCCTTCCCATAAATCCCCTCCATCGTTAAGGGCACTTGTTATCTTGTCACCTTTAATGTAAATGTGCTGGCTGGCCGCATGACTAATCTTTTTAACTTATTTTTAGGTTTTAAAATTGTCTTTTAAAAATAACTGCACGTTTTTGATTTTTAAACATTAATTTAAACCAACAACCAGCAACAGTTTTCCTCAACCTTCTTCTACCAGCAAAAATATACGTCATCATTTTTATCCAAGAAACTAAATGAAATTTTTCAAAATCAATAATCTTAAAAATCTTTTTTCCCTTTCAAAAGGTCACGTTTTAAAAACCATACTTTCCTATTGCTTTCGTTTATTTAAATTTAATAGACGAGTAAATGTAATTACAATTGTTTTTAGATAGAGATTATTTTTAACTTTAGGGTTGTCTTAAATAGGAAACAATTTAAACAAATTTTGTTTAAAAGAAAACCCTGACCACCAAACAGCAATCTTTGTATTCCAAAGCACATGTTTGTTTAAACTTTTGCAGTAGACTTTTTACGTTCTGTTTGTTAAAATGTGATTCCACTTTACAAAATCTCTTTTACGCATGTTGGGAAAATGCTCTTCTTTGTTTTTCTTTCTTTATTTTGATTATTTTTCTTTCGTTTCTTTATTATTGTTGTGAAAATTGTCCGCCGCGTATATAGTTTTTCTCTGGCAAACTTAGTTTTCAGTTTTAGACGGTGTTTTAACAAAGAATGACGCTTAGTTTACAAAAAAATTTGCGAAATTTTCAAAAAATAATAAAAAATCTTAAATTTTTTACAACTTTATTGTTCGGTCTATTAAGATGATTATTGGCGGTGTTAAAATCCAATTACCAACCTCAACATATCGTTATACAGCCTCGTTACGTCCAATTAAAAAGGTGTGAGAGTTTTTTTTTTTTTATATTTTTCTTCTTTGAAGACAAAAGTAATATAAAAGAAATTTTGCCTACTTTAAGGGCAAGCAAGTAATATGTAAAACGTAGATATTTAAAGACTTTTGTTTATTTTAAATTGTAGCCTACTTTGTATGTAATTAATACTTAGCATACTTTTAGGTGTTTGTTTAAAAGAAGTGTAATAATATTCTTAATAGCAATTGTAATATATCAAAGAGTTTTTATGTTTTCAAATAAAAATCTATAAAGTTTCCTTTAACTACGTTTTAAAAATCTTTTCAAGTGACCTACATTGTGCATTTAAACTGTTAAAATATATTTACTATATAAAATACTTCTAATATAAAGATAATTTTATATATTATCTTAAAATTATTCGATGTTTCAAAACATTTATATAAAATTTAAAACCTAATAAAAAAGATTTACATTTACGGGTACCATATCTAACATAGTCGTTAATCTGGGCTATAGATCAGTCTAGTTTGGACTATATTTCAGCCTATATTCTGAAGCTTAGACTATAAATCTGTCTATAGTCTGGACTATAAATCTGTCTATAGTTTGGACTAAATATCTGTCTATAGTCTGGACTGTAGACTGTCTGTAGTCTGGACTATAGATGTGTCTATATTCTGGTCTATAGATATGTCTATAGTCTGGACTATAGATCTCTCTATAGTATGGACTATAGAAATGTCTATATTCTGGACTATAGATCTGTCTATAGTCTGGACTGTAGAAATGTCTATATTCTGGACTATAGATCTGTCTATAGTCTGGACTATAAATCTGTCTATATTCTGGTCTATAGATATGTCTATAGTCTGGACTATAGATCTGTCTATAGTCTGAACTATAGATCTGTCTATAGTCTGGACTATAGATCTGTCTTTAGTCTGGTCTATAGATATGCCTATAGTCTGGACTATAGATCTGTCTATAGCCTGGACTATAGATCTGTCTATAGCCTGGACTATAGATCTGTCTATAGTCTGGACTATAGATATGTCTATAATCTGGACTATAGATCTGTCTATAGTCTGGACTATAGATCTGTCTATAGTCTGGACTATAGATCTGTCTATAGTCTGGACTATAGATCTGTCTATAGTCTGGACTATAGATCTGTTTATAGTCTGGACTATAGATATGTCTATAGGCTGGACTATAGATCTGTCTATAGTCTGGACTATAGATCTGTCTATAGTCTGGACTATAGATCTGTCTATAGTCTGGACTATAGATATGTCTATAGTCTGGACTATAGATCTGTCTATAGTCTCCACAATGGATCTGTCTATAGTCTCGATTATAGATCTGTCTATAGTCTCGACTGTAGATCTGTCTATAGTCTGGACAATCTGTCTATAGTCTGGACAATAGATCAGTACTATTGATTAGTCTATGTTTTAGACAAATAGTCTATAATATAGTCTGGTTAATGAGTCTATTATAGATCAGTCTATTGACAGGTCTATGGATTAGATAGTGGACAATAGATCAGTACTATTGATTAGTCTATGTTTTAGACAAATAATCTATAATATAGTCTGGTCAATGGGTCTATTGTAAATCAGTCTATTGACAGGCCTACTATGGATCGGATAGTTAATCTGAACAATATATTATTTAAGCTCTATTTACTCTATAAAACGGTGAAGGTTTGATTGAAATCCTAAGATTATATCAAAATTAATAACCACTTTAAGACATTCACAGTGGCAATAGTTAAAGTTTGCTATAAGTTCTTTATTACAAGAGAAACCCACCCATATTAATGGGAAATCAAAGTAAATAATCAAGATTTTCATTTTCACATTAACATTTTAAGACATTTTCTTTGCATTTCTTTCTCTTAAATATGTATGTTTGCCTTTTAGTTTTATAACCTTTTAGTAGTTTATGTGGTCGATTACTAAAAAAAATTACCTTGGCTTTGGTTTGATTTCAGTTTTTTGTTCTTTGCTCTTTATCTTAAGCCATAAATATCTAACGCCATGGCGTCTGGTTGTATAAATAGTTCTACAAAATGTATATAATATTTTGTTTTTGCTTTTTAGGTGTGTGCAAAGTAAATTAATTGTTTTTTGATTTAATCAAACGAATTTCTTACTTTTTGGCAAACTCATTATAGAAAAGAAAAGGAAATTTTTATAGATATTTACCCATAAGAAGATAATATGTAGAGGCATTAACCTTAAGTGCAAAGTTTATGAGGTGGTTAGGGAGTAAACATTCTGCTAGCTTTTAAAGATTCAAAATATTTAAAAAATCATCTGCACTGAACTTATAACTATATAGTTAATAGTTCGAAAAGAATATAATTTCTAATTAACTATAGGTCAGACTATAGTTTGATCTATAGTTAAAACTTTAGACCACTCTATAGTCTTGACTACAGATAACTATATAGTCATGACTATAGATCAGTCCATAGTCTTAACCATATATCAGTCTATCGTCTTAATTATAGATCAGTCTATATGCTTAACTATAGATCAGTCTATAGTCTTAAGAATAGATTAGTCTTAATTATAAATCAATAGACCTAACTGTAGATCAGTCTATAGATCATTTTATAGTCTTGACTATAGATCACTTTATAGTCTTTACTATAGATCACTCTATAAATCACTTTATAGTCTTGACTATAAATCACTCTATAGTGTTGACTATAGATCACTCTATTGTCTTGACTATAGATCACTCAATAGCCTTGACTATGGATCACTTTGTAGCTTTGACTAATGAGCAATATAGATCACTCTTTAGTCTTGACTATAGATCATAACCTTGACTATAGAGCACTAAATCACTCTATAGTCTTGACTATAGATCACTCTATGGTCTTGACTATAGATCACTTTATAGTCTTGACTAATAGAACATTCTGTAGTCTTGACTATAGATCAGTCTGCAGTCTTGACTATAGATCAGTCTGCAGATCATTCTGTAGTCCTGACTATAGATCATTCTGTAGTCTTGACTATAGATCAGTCTGTAGTCTTGACTATAGATCAGTCTGTAGTGTGAACTATATATCAATCTATAGTCTCGATTGTAAATCAGGCTAATGACTGCAGATAAGTCTACAGTATAGACTATAGATGAGTCTAATGTCTTTACTAAAGATCACCTTATAGTCATGACTATAAATTAGTCTATAGTTTACTTTGTTTCTTGTAAAAAAAAGTTGAAACTAAATTTGTTTTAAAACTAAAAAATCTATAACTTAATAAGTAAAGTAAGTTATCTATCTACCTTTCTTGAAATTAATACTGACCCCTATATTTTACAACAAAGAAAACTAAAAATTTAATATTTCTTATATATTGAACTTGACATTCTTACAATTTAAATACAAATATGTGAATACATGTGTATTTACTATTTAGTCAATATAAATATTTAATCCCCAGTTGGTTCATACACAAAATTTAACGTTTATTACATTAAATATTTAGAACAAAAAAAAAAACAAAAAGAAAACACACCCTCTTCTTACTTTTAACAAAAAAAAAAAACTAAAACACATGTATGTTTTACATATTTTTTTTTAAATAATAAAACAAATTTCTTTTCTGTTCACTTTTAAGGGTCGTGGTTTGACGGGCTTAAAGAATTTGGGGAACACATGTTATATGAACAGCATAATACAATGTCTTAGCAATACGCCACAATTGGCCGAATACTGTATAACGGACAAATATAAAAACTATATCAGTCGCAATAATAAAACAAAAGGACAAATTGTTGAAGAAGTTGCCGCACTAATTAAAGTTTTATGGAATGGCAATTACAAATGTGTTGCCAGCAAGGATTTGCGTGTAAGTTAACCATAATGTCTCTCTCTCTCTTTCTGAAATCAATTAATTAATTTCTTAATATCTTTATTTATTTTCCGTTTTCTTTACAGTATGTTATTGGTCAATATCAGAAAATGTTTCGCGGCATCGAACAGCAGGATTCTCATGAATTCCTAACCATTTTAATGGATTGGTTACATTCTGATCTACAGACCGTAGCCCAACCGCCTGAATATATACGCGAACCAATGACCGCCTCCGATAAAGCGTGGTTAGATTTTACCAAATCAAAAGAAAGTTTAATATTGCATTTATTTTATGGCCAAATTAAGAGTATCGTTAAGTGTACCACCTGCGATAAGGAGTCGGCCACGTATGAGTGTTTCTCAAATCTTAGTTTAGAGCTGCCGGAAAATAATAATGTTTGTCATTTGTCACAATGTTTAGATATGTATTTTAGCGGTGAACGTATACACGGTTGGAATTGTCCGGCCTGTAAGCAGAAACGCGATGCAATTAAGAAATTAAATATATCGAAACTGCCGCCGGTATTGGTGATACATTTGAAAAGGTGAGTAGTTTTTTGAATCAGGCTTTCAAAGTCTTTACTCTAAAAGAGTATATAGTCTTGACTATAGATCAGTTTATAGTCTTGAATATAGATCAGTTTATAGTCTTGAATATAGATCCGTTCATAGTCTTGACTGTAGAACAGCATGTAGTTTTAACTATAGATCAATCTAGTCTTGACTATAGATCAGTCTATAGTCTTGACTATAGATCAGTCTATAGTCTTGACTATAGATCAGTCTATAGTCTTAACTAGAGATCAGTCTATAGTCTTAACTAGAGATCAGTCTATAGTCTTGACTATAGATCAGTCAATAGTCTTGACTATAGATCAGTCTATAGTCTTGACTATAGATCAGTCTTTAGTCTTGACTATAGATCAGTCTTTAGTCTTGACTATAGAGTCTATAGTCTTGACTATAGATCAGTCTATAGTCTTGACTATAGATCAGTCTATTGTCTTGACTTTGGATTAGTCTATAGTCTTGACTGCATATCAGTCATACCCCGACAGCCGGTTCTACGTACCGAAATGACCCGAATTATTCGGCCAAGGGCTGTCAACCCCAGCAACAACAATACAACAACAACTATATATCAGTCATTAGTCTAGACTATAGATCAGTCTATGGTCTTTATAGACTATATTCTTGATTATAAATCATCAATAGTGTTGACTATAGATCAGTCTATAGTCTTGACTATAGATCAATCTATAGTCTTGACTATAGATCAGTCTATTGTCTTGACTATATTCTTGATTATAGATCAGTCTATATTGTTGATTATAGATCAGTCTATAGTATTGACTATGGATCAGTCTATAGTCTTGTCTTCAGATCGGACTATAGTCTTCGCTAAAGGTCAGTCTATAATCTTGTCTATAGATCAGTCTATAGTCTTGACTATAGATCAGTCTATAGATCAGTCTATAGTCTTGCCTATAGATCAGTCTATAGTCTTGACTATAGATCAGTCTATAGTCATAACTATAGATCAGTCTATAGTATTGACTATAGATCAGTCTATAGTATTGACTATAGATCAGTCTATAGTCTTGACTATAGATCAGTCTATAGTCTTGACTATAGATCAGTCTATAGTCATAACTATAGATCAGTCTATAGTCTTGACTATAGATCAGTCTATAGTCATAACTATAGATCAGTCTATAGTATTGACTATAGATCAGTCTATAGTCTGGACTATAGATCAGTCTATAGTCTTGACTATAGATCAGTCTATAGTCTTGACTATAGATCTGTCTATAGTCTTAACTATAGATCAGTTCATAGTCTTTACTGTAGATCAGATTATAGTCTTTAGTGTAGATCAGTCTATAAACTTTACTGTAGATCAGTCTATAGTCTTGACTGTGAATCTGTTGACTATAGATCACTCTACAGATTGGTCTATAGTCTTGACTATAGATCAGTTAATAGCCTCGACTGTAGATCAGCCTAAAGCAATCGTTTCTCTTTATTTATTCACTCTATTCCTCATTACTCCTTTCCAGATTTTATGCCGACACAGATTCCCTAACACCCTCCTACAAGAAGAAACAAAACTATTTACGTTTTCCCCTCGAGAATCTCAATATGTCACCGTATATCACCATTTCCGAGTCCAGACGCAATACCACAAAATCCTATGAACTATATGCGGTATCAAATCATTATGGTTCCATGGAAAGTGGTCATTATACAGCATTTTGTAAGAGTGGCACCTATGGTAGATGGTTTAAATTTGATGATCAAATTGTTACACCTTTAGATGCATCAAATGTCGTCTCAAGTGCTGCTTATATATTATTTTATACACGTTTACAACCCTCGCAATATATATCGCAAACCTGTCGCCTTTAATGCAAGTTAACTAAGGCTTAGGGTCTTTTTAGTTTAATACATTCTACTATAACAATTTATAATTATTTCTAGTCTATAATAGAAATTTTGCCTTAAAAGAATAATAATAATAATATAAAACGAAAGGTTTAATGAATTTTTTTTTCTTTTTTTAATTTTATTTGTTTTATCTTTAATTAAAGAAAAAAAAATTATTTTAGTGTTGCTTGTTGATAGTTTTAAATTTATTTTTAAAAAATTTACTAGCATATTTTTAAAATATATATATTTTTGCTTATTTTTGCTTAAAAAAATTCCAAATATTTGTTTTTAAAACATTTTAGTTTTCTTTTTTATTATTTTAATATATTTATAACTTTGTATAAATATTTGTTTACAATTTATTACAAAAGCTCTTTATTATTATTCTTATAACACAATTAAGACTTACTGTTAATAATTAATGAAAAAGAAAATTTAAATTTCTATAATATAAATACATATAAATATATTTAAACTATATATTAAATTTAAAAATGATATTTAATGAGTAACCTTACATAAATACATATATTTTATTTTATTTAATTCATATTATTATATATTTTATTCTATATATTAATATTCTTATAATTTATCATTAAATGCCAAGAAAACAAAGGAAAAAGTGAAACTTATAATAAAATGGAATATTGTTATTTTTTGGAAAAAACTTTGAAATTTACTTAAAAACAAGTTTCAATTTTCAAATAAGAATATTTTAAAATTCCAACAAAATTGGAAAAGTTGCGGTAAGGTAAGTTTTGTAGTGAGAGCTTTTGAGGCAATTAAGAATTTTTGATGAAGTTTCATCATCAGTAGATATAATTTTAGTTAACCTATGAAATTTAAAAAGAAATAATAATTTCATCCTAATTTAATTAATATTTTATTCACTATTATAGGAAAAGCTTTATTTTAAAGCTTTTAATTTAAAAAATAGAGGTTCGTTTAGTTTTATGAATGATGAACACCAAATTTTTTACTGTAATTTAATACAATTTTACATATTGTAAATGCATACAGTAAAAGCTTTATTTAAAAGCTTTTTGTTTAGGAAATAAAGTTTCGTTAAATTTTAGAAATTAGCAAAAACATAAATTTGTTTGTAAATTTAAATTGCTGCTTTTTCATAATGAAGAAATGCGAAGAAAACTCTTTCGTAAAGCTTTCAGTTAAGAAAATAAAGTTTCGTTAAGTTTTATTATTAAAGAAAACTAAAATTTGTTACTCTTTATAAATAATATTTTCTCTTTACTATATGAATACAGTTAAAACTTTAGTTAAAAGCTTTTTCTTTAGGAAATAAAGTTTCGTTAAGTTTTTTAAATGAACAAAAATATAAATTTGTTTCTAAATTCAATTACTGTTTGTTCATTAAGAAGAAATGTGAAGAAAACTCTTTTCATAAGCTTTCAGTTAAGAAAATAAAGTTTCGTTAAGTTTCATTATTTAACGAAAACTTAAATTTGTTACTCTTTTTAAAAACTATTTTATATATACTACATGAATACAGTTAAAGCTTTATTTAAAAGCTTTTAATTTGGAAAATAAAGTTTCGTTAAGTTCTATAAAGGACCAAAAATATAAATTTCTTTCTATGTATAAATGTCTGTTAATTCCTATAGAATAAATATAAAATAATATGTTTCGAAAAGCTTTCAGTTAAGAAAATAAAGTTTCGTTAAGTTTTATAAATGACGAAAAACAAAAATTTTTACTCTTTTTAAATAATATTTTATACATACTAGATGTACACAGTTAAAGCTTTATTTAAAAGCTTTTTATGTAGAAAATAAAGTTTCGTTAAGTTTTGAAAATTATCAAAACTAAAAATTGATATTGGATTTGAATATTATTCAACATATACTAGAAGAATATAGTAAATTATTTATTTTAAAGCTTTTTGTGTTAGAAATAAAGTTTCGTTAAGTTTTAAAAATTAACAGAATTAGAAATTTCTTACTAATGCAATGAATATTTTATTAATACTAAACTATTTTAACAAACGCTTTATTTTAGAGCTTTTAATTTAGAAAATAAAGTTTCGTTAGTTTTGAAAATTATCAAAACTAAAATTTGTTATTGGATTTGAATATTATTCTACATATACTAGATGAATATAGTAAAAGCTTTATTTAAAAGTTAGTTGTTTAGGAAATAAAGTTTCGTTAAGTTTTTAAAATTACCAAAATTAAAAATTTTCTTACAGATTTTAATAGTATTTCATATATACATACTTGAGCAACATAGAAAATATTTTATTTTAAAAGCTTTATCTTTAAAAATAAAGTTTCGTTAAGTTTCAAAACTGTTCTAAAATGAATTTTTTTCCTGATTTAAATTGGTGCTCATTGCTGTAATATAATAAAAGTTTCATTTGATAGCTTTCAAATAAGAAAATAATGTTTCGTTAAGTTTTGAAACTTAATGAAATTTTAATTTCTTACAATATTAAATAATAAATAACGTACCAAAAGTCTTATAGCAAAAGCTTTATTTAAAAGCTTTAATTTACCATATATTTTTGGTTTTTTTATAGAATGAATTCGTCAAAAATAGACTATAGTCAAAGGCCTTTCGTTTGTCCTAAATTATATTAATAAAGTGGCATCACTATAACAGGGTATTTTACAAATTGTCAACATTGTTTATGTTGTCATTTTTAACATCATAGACACAAACCATCATGAAATTACACTGTTTTATCATTGTTGGGAAACTGCCTTAACCGATTTGTTTAATTTATTTAACATTCTTACAAAATGGGAAAAATAGTATAAAATTTATACTTAAATTTTCTATAGAATGTTAAAATTAAAAAAAATAAATTCTTACCTTATTAAAATGGTGATTCCAGGTTGATTTTATACACAGACATATTCATATTTTTTATTTTATTGAATTATAAACCGTCGCGATTTGAACCGAATTATTTTTATATATTTTTTATACTTTATTAAATTATAGACCATCGAAAGAATAATGACAGCATATTTTTATACATTTTTATAAAATAAACTATGTAATTTTAAACTAAGATTAATAAAAGGTCCATTTTGAGACCATTACTTTTTTTCTAGCTAAATTTTAACACACTTTATTAT